AGGTTTCCCAAGGCTTCGTTTGGGTGGAGAGCTGCTGTAACACAGCACAAAGCAGCATCAGTTTACTGACACTTATGAATATATATATGAAAATAAAAACAGACAAGTGAAGGTCACAGATATGCCGTCTCATACATTTCTTTCTGGAGGACAGGACAGGGGCTGTACTCGGAGTCAGATCCGCCACTTTTGTGCCTGTGGAAGCCGTTTGTGAGTTCTGCAGGCAGACAAAATGAGAACCTTATAGCAGGTGCTACTGAGTCAATAGAGACTTGAGGAGACTGAAGTCAGAGACAGGAGAACACAGTGAAGCAGAGTCAGGCAATACTAGACTGCTGAGTTAGTTAAACCAGTTAAAAAAAACAGTCTGAAAGAAGAACTGGACCAGTTACTGTTAGGAACAATGTCGATCCACTCACCACTTTCCAGTGTTTGATTCTGTGTCTTCTCTGGCTCTGAGTTTGCGTCTCGACTGGGAGTCCACTGTTCTTTGAGTGTGGGTGGTCCAGGGCTTTTCTGTGGGGTTTTTGAAGGAGTGGACACAGGAGTGGAACATGGGGTGCTGGCTGTGGAGCTGGGTGCTGAAGGTGTATTGTCCATCAGGGCTTTACCATTCACCAAAACGTCTTTATCTCTGAACAGCTTTGCACCATTTTTTGCCTTTTTGAATAAAACAGAAGTCCGTCGTCCCACCCCCCCAGTGGTAGGTCTTAGTGAGGCTTCGGGTTCTGACAGACCATTAGCCACCGCTTGTCCCTCAATGTGCAATATTGGAGGCGGTGACACTGGCCGCTCCTGTGTTCTAGTGCAATTAGTGGTATTTGATAAGTCACTGTCCAACTTTAGGCGTTTGCAGGGCCAATTGTGAGACTGGGGATCCTTTGTGATTGGCCGCAGGGTGGGAGGCTCCAATGGTGTGTCTCCCCGTCTTGGAGGAGGAGCCGGCCCTGTAGGTTCTAGCATCGGTGGCGACGCCGATTTGAGGTCTTCTGAGAACAAAGGAAGAAAACTAATTTCATTCAGCCCTCAGTAGAAATGTTTACTGAGTATGTAGTGCAATGTGGTGGTGTACAATTTACACAGGAAAATGGTGTCACTCTGTAATGGTAATTACATCCTATTTATAAAGTGAATACCACCAAGTATTCTGTAGACATGGAGGATCAAGTCCAGAGAGTGAAAAGAGAAACTTTGCGTTCACAGCTGTTCACCAGCGACATGGTAACGTGGCGGCGTTTCATGGCTACACTGAGACAAATCACATGTGTTGTGCTGCCCTCCTGTACAGTGTTGGGAAACTGTGTGACTGGAGTAGACCGCACTAAGTGGGATGATATGACATGACTGTACATGGCCAATGGAGAGTGGTGAGTCCATGAGTGAGGTGCTGAAGATGTGCAGACATAAAGTGTGCTGGGAGAGAGGAGTTGTGAGGCAGCCATGGCTAACGAGACTCTGTGGGACCCTACTTACTAGACTGGAGACAGTGGGGTGGTTGGGGTTGGTGCGTGGGGGGGACCCTGGCTCAATTACCTGAGGACAATGTTTTGTTAGCTCATGTTCACAACTGGTCTCATTTAAAAAATAAAATTAAAGTGCCTATAAAATACATGTGAATAGGAATTTTCATTTTTGGGTCAAGCACTAGGGCTTTTCATCACAAACCTTTATCTGAAGACAAAAGGCCACTGTCTGTCTTTATGTCTTTCTCTTCAACGTCCTCTTCATCGTCCTCGTCATCCTCTTCTTTCACATGTCCATTTAAATGACCATTGCGGGAGTGCTGACCCTGCTTGTGGCGGATGTTGTTGATCTCACGTCGAAGCAGATGCATGCGTCGGGTCCGGGCACCGCTGTATCGCATGGAGGTGACAAAGTCCAGCTTTTCTAAAAGCTCTTTGAGCTGCTCCTCCACAGACATGTGAAGCCGGTTTTCTGGATCCAACATGCTGTCAACTGAGCACCAAAGACAGGCTGATATAAATACTGATGACTATAGTGAGTTTCTCATCAAAAGCTACAGTATACACAGCCAACTCGAGGTTATTAAAAATGACCATTAAAAACTGTAGACCTGTTAAAGATCAAAGCCAAGCAACTAGGTCTGAGCCATAATCTCCTGCCGAAAATGTCTTTTTTTAACTGTAAACTGTAAAATCTCACAACAGAAAACAAATGCTTGAACTCACCATCATCCCAGGTGCAGCTGTAAAAGTCTCTCTTCTTTGGGGACTGTGGGAGGTGCATGCCAGTGTCTAGGTCCAGGCCAGTGTTGGTGGCCTGACGTTGAGCATGACGCAGGATGGCACCCCCCAAATCTCTTAGTCGCAGCGCCGTCCGATGGAAGACTGTGTCTTTGGCATTGTAGATAAGGCAGTTGGACACCATGAGGTTAAAGTCGGCTTCCAGGTCAGCCACAGAGTGATAGGCATGACCCTCCAGTTTAGAGCGCATGGTGGAAAAGTCCATGGGCTGGCTGATAAACTCCAGGTAATCTGGAACCTGAAGATAGACATTTGAAAAATATCTTTAATTTTCAGTTATGACAGAGCTTAAATAAACAGATTTGTTCATCCTAAATTTTTATGCATAACTGTTTTATAACTCTGTATGACCTGTTAGTTGTTGTGGCATATAAAACATGAATGCAGAAATTCCAAAACACAACAACAGAATGATAGGCTATTTAGCAGATTATAAATTATATTTATATAATTCCTGAAACAATGTCTGAAATGTAAATATATAAAAAACAAACATAAAACAAAACATCTACACACTGTATTACTATGTAACATTTCTATGTAAACCCACTCTGACCTCCTTGATGTTGACTGGATGTGCAAAGATCTTGGCTGTGTCCTTTTCCTGCAGCTGCTCCAGGGTTGAGGTGAGAAGCATTAACATTGGTGTCAACTGCATCTCCAGACATGCTTGATGAACTTTGACCTGCAGTCAATTGGGAGACATGCACAAGAAACTGCAATTATCTGAAATTCGGCATTTCAACATTTTAGATAGTCTAAATCAAAATGAAAAGACAAATTGTTTTGCTTGATGGGGCTTGAAAGAAAAAAGACAGTAGACAGTTTAGAAACCAGAAAAATTGTAAACAATATACACTGATATTCACAGACTATAATTTAATAGTGTTTTCAACATCCAGTGACTAACCTTTGTTTTTCGTACTTTTTTTAAAAAAAAAAAACATTTTTACAGAAAAACTGGCTTTGTCTTTTATGTAACAATAGTGTTTATTTAACAACAACAAAAAAAATTCATCATACAAAAATCATACTTTAAACCTAAACCACAGGTCTGTGGTGAGACTTGAAGAGATACTTTTTGTGCAATGACAATTCATTCTTGTTTTACTATAAATACTGTAGATATGATTGCATAGAAAATACAGTTAAAGATGTGAGATTCCTTGTCAGTTACCTGTTCGCGTTTGAGCTTCTCCCTCTTGCGTATGAGCTCCACCAGCAGTCTGGCTTTTTCCAGGTCACGTCGGAGTTTTTGCCAATATCTCAGTGCTTCTCGTGCCGCAGAGACTTTTTTATCCACCTCAGGCTGTAAAGAAACAATTGTTTTATTAATTTTTAGTCTAAATACTGCAGTACATAGGCATTTAGGTACGTGTAACATTTAGTGAATGTTGGTGGAAAAATCTCACATAAACATTACATCCAGAATACACAACGATGGCAGTAGACCTGTTCTGGGCTCTGACCTGTTCTGTGTTCCTTTGGGACTGGACATTAGAGTGCAAGTGTCGCACCAGTGGTACACCATTTCTTGAGTGACGCTTTAATAACCAGTAGCTGTGGAGTCTTTGCATGAACTGACTTTTTTTCTGTAAGATGATTCCTTTGCAGATATTATTCAGTCTGTAGGAAACAAAAACATTAAAATTTTTTTTCAACATAACATATTTTTTGACTGTGTTTTAAATCTCAAAAAAATAGGAGTATATTTAACATGCTTGCCTGCTAGTGGGTATCTGTGGCACGGTCACTTGTGGAGTAGAAATGTGTTGAACTTTGGATTCAGTGCTCTTCTTCCCTTTCTTTTTATCTGCCTTGTTGTTATTGTCATCAGATTTTCTCCCTTTTTTTGGCGTTGTTGGACCCTCTGTGTAGGCACTACGTCCTCTGCTAGCCCTACCTCTGCTGCCCACTATTCTTACCTCACTCTCCTCATCTGATAAAGTGTCCTGTCCTGGTGGAGAATGAGCCTCACAGAATGCCGTCTTCTTAACAGAGAACATTGTTCCGTTGATGTTTGTCTCTCGCACAGGCTCAATCTTCATAAAGAGGCCAGCTCGCTGAGCACATGTGACATGAAATGCAGTGTAACAGTTGGCTTTGTGGCACTGAATAGATGCACCGTGGCCCTTCTGCTTGCACAAGTAACAGGTTAGTTTCCAGCGGGCTGGAGGAATGTTACTGACCCCTTCTACTGGCTCCAAAAACACAGTATTGGCAAAACACACTTCAGGGATCCAGATGGCACAGACTACGTGGGCCCAGCGTCCTTCGCTAGTTTGCTTAAACGCACCACCACGATTCGGACACAGGACACAGTCAACAGGTTTCTGGGGAGATTGAAGACAGCAGCGGCAAAGCCACTGTCCTTCGGGGATATAAGGTACTCCGTAACACTCCTGATGCACAGCCAGGTTGCAAGAGTCACAGAAGAGTATGACGTTACTGTTGAGACACTCATCATCCAGGCACACACAGCAGAAGGCATCGTCGTCAACTGCGCTCTGAGAGGGCGCCCGGCTCCTGGCTTCCAAGTATGCTTCCTCCTCTATTCTGTCCACCAGCAGCTCAAATGTGTCTGGTGAGACTGCCGAATAGCCTTCTGACGTTCGACCATCATTGATCAACTCCAGCCAGATGGTGTCCTCCTCATCCATATCATATTCTGCTACAGTTTCCTGCTCATCAGCCGAACGCTCAATGTAACGATAATATGCAGTAGGTAGAGGAGGTGCCTCGACTGGTTTGAAAGTTTCCAGCACACAGAACTTAGGCTCAGGAAGGTTCATGTGTTGGTTTGCTGTATGTTGTTTTTCTGGGGTTTGAGGATGAGAATTAGAGATACAGTTTTTGGAAGGTGGTGGTGACTTAATGGGGGTACATTTTGAGTCTTTCCTACGAGATCGTGGTGTTACTGGTTTGCGTGACGTTGGGGGACAGCTTTTGAGTGGTGTCAAATGCTCACTATTCTCCTTGTTACTATTACATTCGCTTATGTCCTGTGCCATCATCTCATCCTCAGTGATAACCTCCATGGGCTCCAAAATAGAAATGCGATGAAGCCTGCCATCTAGTTCCACTTCCACCACCTTCTGGGCCTGTGCGTAGGTCAGTGTTTCTCTGTTTGGCGATGCTTTGAGGCTGTATGGTGATGGAGATCGCTGACGGGCACCTCCACGGCCACTGACTGTCCCAATGGACTTCTTCAAGTTTCCGTTTCCTTCCACTGCCACTTGGCCTTTTCGACGTGGTTTCTTCATGTCTGCCACTAAGCAGAGTTTCCCTGTAGGTTTAAGGAAAAAAATAAAATACATGAAAAAATGATATATAATTAATTATATATAAAACAATATAATGTATATGGCTTTTCTTAAGGAAATACTATTTACACAATTTTAACATGCTTACATTTATCTGCACTAAACCATTATATTTAAAATATGTATGATAAAGTATAACATAATGAGGATGATATTGGCAAACGAACCAAAAAAGAATACACCTGTTCATAATAACAGCAACAATTGCTGACAAGTATGTTACCTGCAGCCTAGACATTCCACCACACTCCTGCATTTTTATATCAGAATGCAAAGCAATTATTGTTCAAACCCTGAACTTACCTTACCATCATGTCAGTTCTATTTCACACGGATATGACGTCTGTAGTCCACCTCAAAGACGTAAAAACTTTGATTATTCTAGACTTTTATCTCATTAAGCGTTGACATGTACCAGGGCGGGCCACAACGCAAAGGCTACAACCAATCAGCATTAAAGGGAGTTTGACTGATTCTCTTCGAAGCCAATTAGAATCCAAACCCCGCGTCTCAGCAGATCGGTGTCCTTATTTCCAGAGTAAAATGTCAGCCATATTTACAGTTGGAAACTACGTTCAATTGCGCTCACACGTCTTGAATTATGTTGTTTATTTTAAAGTTCGAAGTACTCTAATGTTTGAAGATTCAAACGAATGCTTTTTAACATATGTTTCGTGACTTGGACATGAAAGTACGGAGCCAAGTTGATCTATCAGCAGCTAACCTGCTAACTTCAGAAAACTGACACAACTAACTATAGATGATTTGTTTATTTAAATGTTAAATTAAGTTGTACACTTAGTATTTACCATCGGATTTGAAAAACCGTTAACATGTAACAACAAACAGATGAGTAACATAAGACTTACCTATTTTTGCAACTGCCTGACACAGCCGGCGGTCTAAAGCCGCCTCTTTAGTAATGGTTGCCTCTCCAGCCGCTTAACTTGCTGTACTCTCTAAGCTAAAAGCCACCGTTAGCCAGCCAGTTTGCTGTCAGAGCCGGTTTGTTTAGCCCATTTAAAACGAATCCGTATCATCAGAAAACAGCATGGGGAAGAGTGTGCTTATTGTAAGTGAGGCGTAGGTATGTCTGGAAAAATACGGAGCGAAAAAGCTTGTTGACAATCCAATTTTGGCGAGGAGAAACACTAGCATCCGTAGGCTAGCTATTTGGAGCACAGCGTATATTCTTAATCAAACTTGCAACTGTGGAGTCTTAGTACTTCCGGTTAAGTTTTGAAAAATAAAGTCTACTTAACGTATCGTTTTAGTTTAAACAAGCTGCGCCGTTAATTAAACGTAAATAAATATACAGATACAAAAAATATAAAAATATGACATTAAACTCCATAGTACAATCGCTTAAGAGTCTTTTATTATTTTATTTTTTTTACATATGATGTTTTATTTTTATTAAGATAACATCACTTCCGTTTTCTGTAGCGTCACGTGAGCTAACTTGCTGACCATAGCTGATACAAGCTGAGCCCGCACCCCTGACGTCACTGTCATAATTTTCGCGCGCAAGCTTTTTAACAGGTTGTTTTGAGCAAAATAACAACAGTCTGAAGTTTTCAACATTATCATGACACTGTTAACTTGCAAATGGGCACTTGAGTGTTGATTTAAAAACCAGACACTTGTCTTGACACCTCTCCACAAAACACAAGCGTGCACTGCACACATGCTCATGTTTATTCTGTTGCTTAATACAAACGCACGCCCACACAGGGAAACCAACACAGACCTGCAGACTACACAGTAACTGTAGTGAGATGCCTTTTCTGTTTGCAAATGCATCAGACAACGTTTACATAGACTTCAACATACATTAATGGCAGCAATAGTTCCCAAGACAATTGCTGTAACTTTTTACATTTTACTCAACTTGTAGTTACTACTTAACTTCTAATTACTTTAGGTACTGCACCTAAAATTCTGGGTAGACTAGATAATTGTACATTTGCTTATTAGTATTTTGGAAAAGTGGTGCTTTGGCCCAGATGCAATGTCTCTGTCATTGGTGTGGAACCCCAGAGTTCACCTCCTGGGCAAGTTTGAATCCCGGTTAGGGCGGCTGGTACCTTCAGGTGGACTCACCACCCGCAGGAAGGTTCAGGGGGGTTGGTATGGTGCAGTTTGATCTGGGTAGCGGTCATGGAGACTGCTGCCCCCGCGACCCGGTAGCGGATGAAAATGGATGGATGGATATTTTGGAAAAATCTCAAAGAAATTGTATCTTTTATAATACAAACTTGTATTTATTGCCATTGGCCAATCTTTAGCCAAACCCAAGACAATCATTTTAGTTAAGTTATTAAATAACTTCAGCACCACCCATTCTGTGCAGTATGTTATGCAATGTTTAAACTAATTCTAAATTAACATTTGTGTATTTTTATATCATAAATGATCATAAATTTAATGAACTGCTAATATTTTATGGATACATATTAAGTTAAATATGTGCCTTTACATAAGACATTGCTGTTATTATTACACATATTAAGACATATAGTAATAATAAATAATCTGAAGACAAACGATTAAGTTTGGCTATAAGTTTTGCAATTTATTTTGAAAACAATAACAGGGTTATTTGTACACTAAACTCTGACTTTTGTTGACAATAAAACTGCACATTAAATTCACTGTTGAAGGCTAGTGTAACACGAATAAAATTTCACTCCCATTCAAAGTTCTAAACACGTCCAGGCGTGGAGGAATATAGTGAATCCATGGTTAGAATATACAAGGGCACGAGTGGCTGTAATCTGTGTTAGTGGGGAAATTGAAATCATTAGGTCACGGAGACATTGTCAGTGTGTTTTTTCTCTTGGAGTCTCGCCGTGGGAAGGGCACGAAGCTTTTCACCTCTTTGTAACATAATCCTGATGAGAAAAGAGGAAAGGTTTTGGTTTCTGCATACCAACATGGTCATAATCACTTACAGAGAAGCTTTGAAGAGACACACTAGAAGACATTTCAACATTAATTGTTAATTAGTACACCAACTAATGTCCTGCATCAAAGTATTAGTGTCATAACTTCTAATATAACATGCCCAGCATGGCAACCACTTAAACATAAACCTTCATTATGGGCAGTTGGCACTAATAATGGAGACCATACTTTACAGCTACATTTCTGTGGCATACAGCAGTACTAGACCTGTAAGTACCAGATACCATTTACAAAGAACATAATGGTTGGTGCTTAATTATTTAAAGGCAACTGTCTATTAAGAACCCATCCTGATCAAACAAAGAGATATTTGCAACAAGCTAGACCAAAATAGTATGTTTACTCCTCTTTGAAAGTCCAACTTCTTTTACGCTTTAGCTCCCTGGTGGGAATGCCCATAGTTTCAAGTGCTATGTTTAAATCTTCAAACTTCTAGAAATTTGTTTTAGGAGACAGCAGTAAATACTTTTGTTTTATTATGTCTCCCATGTTGTCATTATAACAATCAAAGTCATTTTACACTCACTTTACACTCCTACATTATTTATTGTCTCTCGAGTTGAGGTTGAAATGTATTTTGTCACTTACGTTTCCACTCCTCTAGGGACAGTGTTGCGTTGTCATGGCTATCGTCATATGGTGCTGGCTCAGGAAAGTCATCTGGGTCTCTTAGACCATCAAAGTAAGAATGTTCCAAAGCTAATTCTGCTGTTAGCCTCTCGTCTCCATCGAGAACCAGCATCTTCTCCAGCAGGTCGATACCTGCAGATAGCCAGCAGTACAGAATGATGCAAACATAAAAAGAAGTGCTTCAGCACTCAAGAGACTAAAAGAAGGAGTCTGTATAAAGTTGAAAATGGTTGGGTTTCTCTTTTAAGAGATGACATTTCTATGGCACCACAGTTGCTAAAGAGGTGTTAGTCACTGTTACCTTACCTGTTGCACTGGCTCTGGTGAACAACACTGAAAAGTCTTTTCGGGGATAACGTGGAAGGCCCTTTATATAACTTCTAGCCTGGGTTATAGAAAAACAAACAAATTCAAATGCAAATATAAGCAACAGTTTATGATGCCAGCCCATATAGAGGTGCAATAAACTCATTTTGTGAACAGCCTTTGGGTTGTTCTGCCTCTGAATGTTCGACAAACATTTTATTTCTGTCTATCTCTGGCTCTGGTCGTCATTTTCAACCATTGTACACAGAGCTGGTGAAAATGGGTTATTGTGATGCATAGACAGGCACATCAATAGGAACAAAGCACCTTCCCTGCATGGATAAAAATATCCATTTAAGCTTTTATGTGCCGAAATCAAGAGAGCCTCATACTGAGTGATTCATGGGCCTGCAACATAATGAACAGACACATTTTCCAGCTTAGGGCTTGGACAGACGACTTCTATTACCATTTACAACATGAAGAAGTTCAAAGCTGATCCCAGAATCCATTTCACACTTGTCCTCATTTTATCTCTTACTTAGACCACACACTGTACCACTGTCTCTACGTCCTCAAACATGTCCTGCACCTCTATCATTTACTCCTCTGCCACCCGTGAAAGCAGAAATGAATGATACTGACACATTATTTTTCATATTGTGGCTCCAGTTGGTGGTAATAGTTAGGAACACAAAGTTTTTAGTAACCTGTTAGGTTGAGGGAAGTCATATTTGATTTGGTTATTATTAAAGGTTCTACAGAAGACCAGGGCAAACTAGTCTGTTGGGCTTTCTGATCCAGACAGCCAAACACTGGTACAAGGTATGGTAAAGACTGAAATTTATTTTGCCCAGCATTCTACGTTCAACTAATACTGAACTGGTCTGCCAATCAAATTTTGAACCTTATTTGGGCTGTGAGCCAAAAGGTTTGCCCACCCCTGTTCTACAGGAATGAATCGTTGCTTCCCACTTGTATTTACCTGTTTGGGTATTTTTCTGCTCTTTCACATTTTCAATAAACGTGTAAATGTAGAAACAAAATTTTACCAAACTATATTATACACCCATAGCGTACATGTACTGTATGTGAATGATATATGCACCACATCCACTATAGTCTTTGTAGAACAACTGCAGATAGATTCAGGTCACGAGGTTTGTTACTTAATGCTGGATAGAGAGTGAAGTGACGTGAAGGAAAGTAGAAAATGTTTTACTTTTCATCCGAGAGGCTTCCTCACGTCTGACACTTACTGTTTGGTCTCTGCTTCTGTGGCTACAGTGTTACATACCAATGATAGTTGTGAGTCTAACTGCAACTGCTGTCGTAATGAAAAATACTGTGTTCCTACCTCTGGACTGTCCAACTTCTGTACGAACTCTGGTCCAGGCACTCCAGTCACTTTCATGATCTGAGTCAGCTGGTCCATGTCTGTTTGTAAATGGGTTTTAATCAAGGGGTTCAAAAACATATGGCTCTTTAGAAAGGATGTTCTTAAGCTGATGGAGGAGCAAAGTGGTTTTCTAGCAGTTTCATAAACGACAACATGAGGAAAATAAATTAAAGTTATTTGATCAAAGAGTGACAGCTTAATTTAGTAGATCAAAAGGAAAAAGCATACAGTCTATCATAAAATTTGCAGGTAAATGTATGTAATGGTGCAGCACTGGATGCTGTCCTGGAGGTTCATGTTTGTTTTATTATGTAAAATACTGTAATTGCTTTTTGCATTTACTGTGGAACCTGAATTACGATACACGTCAAATACAAAACTGTCAGTGTATAATCAAATGACGTTCAATTTCATTACTAGCGCCACACATCTTTTAAATACACAGTTACATTGGAGTCAGAGTCAGGCAGTAAATGTGACAGATTTAAGGATACAGTCTTTTCCTTTAAAAAGAGTTTTCCCATTGATCATTTCTGCCATGATGCAGCCCACAGACCAGATGTCCACTAAAAGAAAAAAGAAAAAAAGCATCAGTGAGAATCCAAGTCAAATGCATTACAACAGTATTCTTTTTAGCACTGTTTAATGGAGTAGAGTACACAATGTGGCATTTTAATGCCAGAATAAAGTTCCTACTTTCAGCAGCAATCGGAATCTATTTCACTGTTTATACACTTTAAACCCTGTGACTAATACAATCCTATGCAGCGTGTAAAGGCGCCAGAATTGCTGACTGTGTGACATTCCATTTTGTAGATGTTTATAAAATGAAAAACACAAAGCATTTAATGAATAAACATAAAGCAGTCCATTTCACTGCAGCAGCAGTTCTGTCACCCTCTGACAGCCAAAGACTGTATAAACAAAATAGAATAGAACATTTCAGTATCAGACAACAGTTCGACTGGTTCAGGAAGAAACTCTATATGAAAAGCCAAAAAAATAAAAGAAAACTGAAAATCTGGATAGGTTTAGCTAAGGATAACTAAAGATAACTTAAAATAAAGGAAGGGAAGTGATTAAAAAATATATTTTTTAAATATTCATAAAAATAATAAATCAAAAAATCATTAGGCTAAAAACTACTGAAGCTTAGCCAAAAGGAAAAAAGTTTGCATAGATAAATAAAAAATACACTAGAAAAATGTTTTAAACAATTTTTTTAAAGAATTTGAAATAATGAAATACAATCATCCCTACCTTAAATAAAGTGTGATATGAAAATAAATTAAAATAATTAACAAATAGTTAATAATAATAATGAATATTGAATTAAAGAGTACAATAAAGGGTAGTCCTTACTTAATGGTGGTGAGAGTAAATCTTTGGTCATTTTATTATCGCTTCACTATTTGATGACTCCACACCATTATATGTAAGACCTACTGTATATGTAGTCTAGCGTCTCAGCAATATATTGTTCAGATGATGTTACACCCAATCTAACATTGATCATCTCATTGATACCCAGCTGCATTCTAATAAAGAGATAAATAAATAAAAGGGAAACACAAAAAAAACAACACTACAGCACTGACAGGCAAAGTTTACACTGAGACGATGATAACACAAGTATGAATATGTAACAGCTACAATTGTCTTGCCAGTCTGAGTGTAGTGCATCCAGTTCAGAATGACCTCAGGTGCCCGGTACCAACGGGTCACCACGTAGCCTGTCATCTCCGCATCGGTACTGCGTGCCAAACCAAAGTCCAGGATCTGCAACAGAGGTACAGTGTGAGGAGCATAGAAGCAGTACACAGTACTACACCAAAGGTTTTAATAAATGTAAATATACTGTGTTTGTGTTTTTTCCATCTGGATCAGTTACAGCACTGATTTTCCACTCCATTCACACTCAAGCTTACTGTATACACATTTATATTTAAGCCAAATTTAAACAAAAAGAAAATCTTGTATGTATTCTAAATCACAATTCTCAGCTGAGTCCTTTACTTTTGCAGTGATCCAGTGATTTGAAATGTGCTCATGTGCCTCTTGTATAATCCTTAAAAAGACAAACCTTGAGTTCACAGTCCTGATTTACTGCCAAGTTTCCAGGCTTGAGATCCTGCAAAAGAAAAACAAAAATCCTGTCAGTCACTCAGAAAATACAATGGTTAAATTCCTGCGTAGTTCAACTTTTTTTTTTTTACAGTTGTACCCTGGACTGATCAATCTATTGTCTCAGCAAACTCAGACAACTTCCTTGAACTTCCTTCACCCAGATTAAGACATTGAATAACAAGCCCTCACCTACTTTAAGAGATGTGTGTTAGTATGACACATTAGATCTGATCATACTTTCCTTGTCTGTACACACCCACAGGTGTTGGCACCAGTGCTGAAAGGTGAGGCTAACATTTCTAGACATGCAGTGAGAAATCAGAGGTGAACTCATCCTACCTGTTGGTGCAGGGTTTATATAGACTGAAGAGTTATGAAGAAATGCAACAGAAAAACTTTCACATTCCCTACATGTACTCACCCTGTGAATAATGCCAGCCTTGTGAATATACTGTAAGAGGGGACCAAGACACAGAAGAGTCAGAAATGTTTCTACTTTGTTCCTATTGCCTTTGAATTACATAATCATTGTATTTTTTCTTCAGACTGAGATCAGGAAAAACAACATTTTAATCAGGGACCGTTTGAATGATTTACAGGTAGAATAAAAGTAGAAGAGTTTACCAGGCAATAGACAAATATGTTCAAATAGATAAGAACTAAGAAACAACTACAGGTATCATTTTATAGTTGAATGTTATGATAGACATAACATTCAACAATTTTTCAGTTAACTTTGACAAGTGTTAGCTTTTTGTTGCTCTTTTGTAATTATCTCTTTAATCAACTAAGTTAACAAATAGATTAATAGAGTTTATCCATGTTAGACGGTATAATTTGTGACAAACACTGGAGCATTGGAGTTAGTATTTCTAATGTGTAGTTTCTATAAAAAACAAACTACACATTTAATATAATACAGTATTTACTGCATAATTTTGTTCTACAGACCAAAACTCCATATTATGAGAAAATGTTTTCACCCTGAGTCCGCAGAGCATCTGGTAGACGAGAAACTGGACTTTGTCCTCTGAGAGTTGGCCTCTAACCTTTGACAAGTCTGTAAACATGTAAGGCATCACCAGGTAGCTGGAAAATAAAGAGCAGACAGTGAGAAATGCAAATAAGCAGTTACCCCTGCCAAACATCATCATCAAAAACACATTGTAGGATGTTTATTCAGCCAGGTTCACAACAAAACACTTGGTTTAACAGTTTACTTCAACAATATTTCTTAGAGTATTATTCTGCACTGATCTGAAGTTACATTTATGTAATTATCGTATTTAAGAGTAATAGTTTGATCTGCACTGGGTTCAACATACAGTAATGTTGAGCGTAAGCAGCAATGACTAAAAAACAACATTTAATGCCCATGACTTTTGACCCCTCAGAGGGTACTGCATTAAAACCATCATCACACTGCGGAGATTACTGCCAGGTGGCTACAGAATATTAAAGAAACCCCATTTCTTATTAAAAACTGTTTCTTGATACATTTACCTGGTGCAAGTTAAAACACAATATCTTTTTGTTTTAACTTATTCAATTCATTATAGTTTGTTATGATTTATAAATCACTATCCAGTTCTTATTCACAGTTTTGACAATGTCCCAACTTCATTGGAAGTAGGCTTTGTACTTGGCAAACAAGAAACCCATTACATTCTTTAACGCAGCAGGCAGAGCTCATTGAGGCTGCCTTTAGTTGGTCAGCTGACGTCCCTGGATCTGTTGTTTAACTAACTCATTGTTAGGCTGTTCTGAATGCTATATTGAATTCAAACTTCTCTATAAGCTACACAATGACACGTCATATAATAGAGTGCTTCCACCTTTGTGACAACTCTATCGTGGAGAGCAGTTCATGTTTCAAAAGGGCAGTAGGCCAAACTATCCTTACCGGGAGTCCTGTAAGTAATACTGAAGCTATAAACTGAACATGCAGATCACTCGAAAGGCCTTGTCTGTCTCTGCCTGAGTGACTTTTGCTAATGTCCTAAAAATACTCACAAGTCTTGAAAGTCATCAAGGCCAGAGGCAGCTGTAAACACTTCAAGAAGTCCTATCACCTGTTTGGAATAAGAGCAAAAATTATAGTCATAAATTGCTACAGAAACCTCAAATATTAATAATGCAGTCATTTTATTTGCCACAATGGAGGAAATTAGTGTGTTCCTCATAACTGCTTGATATATTTTTCAGATAAGTAATACTGTACAGTATATGTAACCATGGAGACCAGAGGTTAGCATCATGTATGTAGTTATACATCCAGAGGGAGACACATCTACAGGCTAAATGCAGTGACTCAAGACCAGGGTTTCTTATCTTTTTGACTTTGAGGTCCAATTTTTACAGTACAAAGTGGTCCAGGGCCCAGTGAATATTAATACTGTTTAGGATTATTGACCCCAGTCACGTCAGGTTTGTACCTGCATAAAGATTTAGTCTCTTGTTGCCGTACTTTTCAGCAGAAGAAGCAGTATACAAACAAAATGAGTACATGAGATTAAAACAACAGATTTTTATCTACTCACATTCTCGTGCTTCATGTGTTTGAGCAGCCGCAGCTCCCTGTAGGCCCTCTTAGCAAAGATCTCTGACTGGAAAGGTCTGTGGAGTTTCTTGAGGGCCACTTTCTCTTTAGTCCTCTCATTTATGGCCGAGCTGTGGGTGAATAACGAAGTAACGAGTTCACCCACTGTGCAAGCCGAGTCTAGTTTCATTATGATTTTTGCTCTTTTGAAGCTGCAGCAGTATGAAAACAACAGTGAGGAAAGTGTATTTTGAGGGTTTTTTTTCACCTTTAATTCACACGCAGCTGAAATAAAGGTGGTAGTACATTTTTTTGGGACCCACTCTCTAACTGAGTGAGTGTCTGTGTGTGGTGGTTTACTAAGCATCAACATGAAAATGTTTGGCATCTGAGGATGCATGTTTGCAATGAACTGCAGGGCACCACGTCGTAGGAGGAAAGGCTTAAAATGTTTTAGAGCCACATCCACCAACACATTACACACGTCACTTGTGCACAATACCGTTGACAACACTGACAGTGTAAAACATTGCAAGCAAAAGCTGATAAATGACAAACAGCTCAAATGGCAGTAATTAAAGTACACAGTGACGGTCTGATGATTTTTCCTGACTTTCTCCATTTGCTATTTCTCATAAAATTGTTTCTACGGTTTGTGCAATTTGGAAAACAATTTTACAGCTACTTCTTCTTTTTAAAGGTCAGGCATTTTAAGCGTTGACACATTGTTGCCTAACCCTGGTAAATGTTATCAGCAGGCCATTACCTGCAGATCTGACATCAGAGGCACCAGTGTAGACAATAACATTTTCCTGAGAAAACAAATGTTCCACTATGAATAAAGTTCTGAGGTCTAGCTGTATATATTTCATGTGATTCATATCCAGTCCATCCTCTTAAATTATAATACTATAGTACTTAGGATTTAAGACCTTCTATGATGAATGATTCTGCACACTTTCTTAATACTGGACTACTGGATTTTTTGCCTCTTTTCCTCACCAGCCAACTTGATATCAAACCCTTGACCTGTCAGTTGGAGGACAATTATATCTGACCAGTGCTCCACTGTTGTTACATTACAATAGAAAAACAAGACAAGACAACAGAAATAGTTCAATTTAGGTCAACAGTGAATGAAGTGAATGACATAATTGGGCTTTGAAGGTTGATTGAAAAACACTTGGGACAACAATTTGGTTTTCAGCAATGCACATTTTTAGGACTTTTTAAAATATATTAGTGCACAATTGTAGATAAACCAGTGACATTTAAAAAAAAGTTTAATAGTGATGCAGTTTCTGCCCTTTTTATCTTTCTGTCTAATCGTTTTAACAATAGGACGACTACATTAATTCCTCATATACGGTCTGTGCTTATGTGCTTTAGTGATACTAACTATAGACTTAAGGAGCAACCGTTATATTCATCATTTAACATTAATAATAAAATATAAAGTGACAATGGGTGTGTCCACCACAATATGTTGTTTCCTTTAAATGTTGTGAGTCCAAACCACAAGTGACACATATACTTTGTGTACACAATATTAGCGAAATATTAGCAAATAAAGGAAATAATTATTTGAGAACATTTTCTCAAATTTCTCAGGATTTCTAGTCCAACATATCATCCATGTCCAGTTAAATGCCAAGTATATTATACGTCTGTTGATATTTTATAAAAACACACACGATGGAATTTGTAAGTAGTAGTAAAAGTATTCATGTTTACTGTAAAACAGTTGTTCCTGCAGCTTCAGCATTGATGCACAGTGTGGATAGAAGTACAAAGGGGCCATTTTAAATACAGACACTTCCATATTCACCACATCCTCCAAATGTACAGAGGAACAGTAAGTCAACAGGTACGCATGTAGGTGGTATACAGTACCAGTAACTGGTATCTGTGTATCACCGTGTCCTGTTATACCACTTTTTTTGTTTACATGTTAAGCACATCATCAAACAAGGTTATTATATCTACACCCTGAACTGTAATATTATGTTTTAATGAGTTACATGCGTGCGAATACACACGCACAGATATAAACACAGACACACACCTTTACGCAGTAGTGTACAGTACACCAATGGTGTATTACTCACCACACAGCACCATATGCTCCTGTTCCTATCTGTTTGAGCCGTGTGTATTTCTCCGGTACCTCCCACACTGTGCTATTGATTTCCTCCCGAGAGAAATGTGGCTGAGCCTCCATGGTGAGAAAGAATGATAAGGAGAAGGAGACGCTGGACAAGCTGATAGAAAACTTCTCCCTCTCTCCTCCTGCTCGCGTATCACTTCACAAGGTAAAGCCAAAACCATACAGTGCAAAACAGAGATCAAGTACGACTTACCGTATTACATAAACCATTTCCGGTTGGGCTTTTCAAAATACTTCTCAAAACTACTGTTGACGTATTAAACATATTGCTATTTCACAATTACCACATGGACTACACTTAAGCATACTCTGATTACTTCTGTAAGTGCTACTTCTGCTAATATCATTACTTTTTTACATATTTCTACCAGAGTTCCATTGACATGGTTTTTAGATTTAATTCTAGATAAAGAGATGACTTGGAAATAATGTATTTCTTTTTCTCTGACAAAAAAAACAAAAAACAAAAAACAACAACAACAAAAGAAAAAAACCCTAAAACTAAAACAACTAAATAATCAATTTTAATTCCCAGAAGAGTAGGAGGAAGTAGGAAAGTAAGTTAATAAGTAGTACACCTACAGTGGTACAGTATATGTTGTTTATCTGAAACATTTGATATAGGATTTGTTGTCATCACTGAGTGTGTCCATTAGGTTAGTTTGAGTGTGATCTTATTGTATAAGCCACTACAGGCTTCTATCAAATTCTAATTTGTGATTCTACCTGTGATTCTAATATTTACAAAAATAAATTTTATGTTTTTTTTCTGTATTTTAAAAAGATCAATACAAAATACCACACTATTACTTCTATTACTGTGCTTCTTCCACTGTTATAACTAGCTATACAAGGTACCATTTTACTACCATATCAACCACCAGTGTTACTATTACCAACACTACTATGTCTACTACCGTTACTAATACTTTTATTACTAAACCTCCAGATACTACTAATAACTAATACAGTGAGTACTACCCACAATAATATGTCTACTATACATATTACCGCTACTACCATTTAACCACCTTCACTACTATTACTGCATCTGTGGTACAACTTGGATACTGAATACTTGGCATGATAAAGAGCACTTTCAGCAGTGGGAGTTAATAATATAATATTTTAGTCAGTGCAATTCTTATTTATAGAGCGCAAATTTGAGTCGTAATAGTTTGTCATTAACACTTTTTTCCCCAATTCCCCAAAGGCCTATGCATTTTATAATAATGAGATTACATTTATTTTGAAAGGAGCTCCACACAAGTTCTGGTATAGATCATTGCGACGGAGCCCCACAGGACTCTGCCTTCATTGTCGATCTATGACAGCAGCTAATGTGTTAATTAGCCTGGGGGAGTTGTGTAATCTCTTATGACTGTAAAAGCAGAAAGAAACATTTAGCAGCATTTAAACCTTATCCATTGTGTGGAAAATAAATAAAAAGGAAACAAGTCACACACCAACTGTCAAAGCCTTGCTGTAAAAAACAAGAGGAGTTGCTTGTTTAAACATGTCAATGATCTGCTCACACACCCACACACAGTACGTGTTACCTCTCATGAATAATTACTGAGTGTTGCCAAGACTTTTATGAATCATGACTGTTAACAGAAAGACATAGTTGGAAAGGAGGGATTTTAAGATAACTTGAATAATTTATAAATCACATTCTATCACAGATTTATGTTTTTTTAGTTATGCAATAAACACATGGAATTATTTTGTTAATCGTAATTTTAGTTTGTAAAAAAAAAAAAAAACTTTTGTGAAAGAACATCTCCCTCAGAGTAAATGAACACCTCAGTCTGCAGTTGCTAAATTAAACACAATCTACTTTCAGGACAGCTGATATAAAAACTCCCCTTAAGGATCAGATGTTTTTTTTCTGAAGGGCATGCTGTAGCAGTGTGGGTTATATTTGTATTTGTGTGTGGAAAGTTGATAGATGATCAGTTAAAACATTTAAATATTTAAATTCCTCCATGACACCAAAACTATGCAAACTATGCAAAAGTGTGAAGCATTTAATTTAAAGACTATTAGCTTAAATAGCCAACAATAGCCACAGATTGGTAAAAACTTAAACAATGCACTAAAATAGCATGACCAAGAAAGAGGACTAGGATTTATCCTTTAATTTGGCAAAGTTTAAAGGTTAGCCAAGATAAATGTGAAATCCATCCATCCATCCATCCATCCATCTATCCTTCCTTCCTTTCATCCTCCTTAGTTGATGGTAAGAATCAGACACTCATTCTTTAAATAAATAAACATTAGGAGGATTAATTCTCTACCCAGGGTTATGGATGTGCGGCCCTTGCGTAGGAGTGTATTCATCACTTCTACTATATTTTGGTGGCAATGTTCAAAGCTAAAAGGGATGAGGTGGCATTTTTTTGTCTGTTCAATGAGAACAGTCTTTACTGCTGAATAGCATAAAATGACCATGATACTGTATATCTGTGAGGATGGTGAGCGATGTGTGGGTCAATACCGGTGACTCAGCAGCTGCTGAACTTGCCGGACTTAAAAAAGTGACTTCTCATCCCAAACTGTTTTGAAGAGAGGACACAAAATAACCACCCACTACTGTTTGTATGCAGTCTAAACCAGTCTCTGTTTACTCTGGTGATTAGACTAGCTGGAGGGAAGAAGAGAGAACACTGTATGTGGAAAGGATGGCTCCACAAATAACCTGCTTGATGAAACAGGTCTCTGTTTTTTGCAAGCTAAGATTGCTATCTTTCTGAGACATTTGAATTGCTAATGTAAACAAAATGTAGTTCTTGAAATGTGCGTTACAGCTTGAGAAGAAGTGCACCTTTATTCAAGGTAGTTTCCCACTACAGTTGACCTTAGTTTCCTTCTCTAACCCTCTTTTCAACAGCAACTTAAACCAACAACATTTTCTATTGCTGAGTCATAAACAACAGCAGTGGGACCTTCGGGGTGAATGTGAAGGCAGACAAAAAAAGTCCAGCGACTCACACAAAACCAATAACAATATAAAAAAAAACTTGAATAAAGAAAATCATAAAGCATCCTTATGTTTATAAAGACAAATAAATGTCTTAAGTTATTTAATTTAAATTAAGTCAGTTCTCAAATTACTAGACCTTTAAAACAAACTTTGCTATAAAGTTTGTTTTAAAAGTCTGTGACTGTAGTGGAACCAGGTCAAAATATAAAAAGAACACATGGGCCCAAAACAGGACACCTTACAGAAAAATGATCCAAAACAAAATCATAACTTTTCAATCAAAGTTTACTTTGAAATAACTTTTATTTTGATGTAATATTACCTTTATGATATATAAAACCTTTCCTCATTCTACTTGTTATTGTGTTGGTCCAGGCTATAACATTATCCCTGCTGGCTGACTTCAGTTTGTGTTAAATATCCAACAGCCTCCTCATTGTTGTGGATGAGTCTAGTCTAGTAACACAGCAGGGCTTCAAATACCTGAGTGCTCACGTTTCGTCTGCAGTACTACAGTATGTGACATGGAGAGAGTATTTCTGAGTTGAAGTTTGTTTTTCAAGTGATGCAAGAATGAATTTGACAATGAGTTTAACATATGTGTGTGTGTGTGTGTGTGTGTGTGTGTGTGTGTGTGTGTGTGTGTGAGTGTGTGTGTCAACTGGCTGTTAAAGGAAGGTGGAACTTCCAAAACAATGTAGAGATGCAGGGAGGGAGAGGAGCAGTAAAATCATCATGCATGTAGGAATCCCCCCAGTTAAGTAGTATTTAAAAAATGAATGGAAACAAACAAAGTTATTTTCACAGTTAGGCATCAATTTGATTTTATAGCATCATTTTAAAATAAAACACATCAACAAAAGCTGGATGTTTTTAAGAAAAGGCTGGTGTATTCTATCAAATCTACTTTGACACACACATCAAAATGTTCTTCTTGAATATCAATAACTTGTTTCTATTAAGATAAATCTGCCATGGTCCACTCGTACTGATTATTCTCCTATTTAACACAGCTTGATGCTCAACACATACTTTATGTAATAGGATATAAATAACTAAAATACTACGGTGTAGACCTTTGCTGATCAGTGACGTCAGCTCCTGGTGTACACAGTCAAGTTCAAGCTCTGAATGGTGTGATGGAGAAGAAGGAAAAGCACGCACGTTTAGGTTTTGGCAGTGATGCAGGAGACACATTTTCCAGGTATATTTATTGCCCACCAGAGGACGCTGATGTCATGCAAATTCACAGGCCGCCTGCAGGTTGAACTGAATGGTGCATTCAGACTGTTTAATCAGATCAGGGACCACAGCAGGTCTTTTTTGAGCACGCAAGGACAACAAACATGGCCTAGAAATTATATCACAATCAAGAATGAGTTTCTTATCTATTAGGTCATGTACAGTATATTGTAATTATTATTAAAAAAAGACTTTTCCTTTGATATTGATGTTTTAAACCACATTTTGCTGCATCTGTTCATCAGGCTTTTGGCCTAATAACTATTAATAACTACCAGGTTGTTTTATTTTAACCACTCGGACATGTCAAATGCACCACTTCCTGTGTGCATGAGGATTGGAACGAGGATTGATTTTGCAGGTAGTGATGTTTGGGAACAGCACATTAAGACAAAACACCCTCTTTGAAAAACCCCAAAACACATCTGTCTGCTCTGAGTGTCAGACAGAGAGCCTGAAGGTGAGTACTTAACATGTGCACGTCACAGGAGATAATTATGAAAGTAACCCTCCTCTCTGGCTGGTACATGACATCAGCACAGGTTGGTGGATAATGAATAACCTGGCATGTCCTCTGCTCTTGCTTATGATGCAGATACTCTGGCGTATGAGTGACTTGAGCCAAAGTCACACACACAAACACACACACTCTGTGCAGGACTACAGAAGAATAATGCAGAAACACAGTGTGAAACTGCAGGTCTGCTCTTTCCGCTAACATTTTTTCTTCAACCCCTTCCTGCAGAATCCTCCACAGCCAAATCTGACATGACATTTTGCAACTCTGAATCAGCAGAGAAAGTAGGCTGCCACATAAGGATGTGCTGGGAAGGAGAAGGAGAGACACACAAATTGGAAGGAGAACAGAGGAGGTGAGCAGCTTGTTCACCAAAGGCCACAGCTACAGGAAGACATCCATTTGCCCCCTGTGTTACCAGAGGCGGTGGCATTAACCTAATGAGTCTTTACATGGTA